ATTAAGGGGTTGTTTATATGGAGTGAGCCAGCCCGGTAAGCGGGATAGCCCGATTGGCCGAGATGAATTTTGGATTGCGTTTATATGGGAAAATTCAGACCGCCTACCGGGATGAAATCAGTCATGTGATCATCCAGCCTCGTTAGCATACGAACTCGTCCCGCGAAAATTAAAAAAAAAAAAGAAAAACATGGCGGCATGCGCAGTAGGATCAAATCCAGCCCGCTTACCGGGCTGGCTCGTTTATATGAGAATTTTTCCATCCCGCTTGCACCGCCCAACCGAGATCTCGGTAAGCTGGCCAGCGCGTCTCCCCATATAAACACAAAGCATTTTTTACAACGAAAAGAGGCTGAGCCGAGATCTCGGCAAAGCGGGCTAGCCCGCGTACCGGGCTGGCTCGCCTCCATATAACAGCCCCTAATTCAACTCTATGGAATGTGCCCAATTTGTGTTCAAGGCTCGGCATTGTTTCAAATTAGAAAATCATTTTGAATTAATATCATTTTCGAAATCTTTATCATATGACATTTAAAACGATATGTAGTTTAGGGGGTTTTGTTGAACGTGTTGCGTAGAGAGAGTTTAAGAGAAACATACCCCTGAAGGTCCCCAGCAACCTTAATGCCAGCATTGCCCAGGGAACCATGCTATCACTATGGAAATGTGCTAATGCAATCCCGGTACCGAAATTAGCTCAACCTAAATCAGTCGACTTGGACCTCATTAACACCTGTATTGAGTAAAGTCCTCGAAAGCTTTGTTTCACGTTGGCTACTACAACTCGTCAGAGCTTACATCGACAGACTTCAATTCGGAAATACTAAGAACTGCTCCACAACTCATGCCTTTATACACATGATCCACAACCTGGTTAGTACCAAGTATTACCACAAATAGTAGCACCAAAAACTACCACAAAGCTAGGACAATTCATAGCCAAACATAAATACAAGATATAAAAAAATGATAGGACGTAAGCCTTCACAAATACGGCATGGGGAACAGTGTGTGAAGATGGCTGGTACATGCAGGAAGCCTGGGTGGCATGTCAACAACTTGGCTTTACCAAAGGTCTAGGTAATTGGCACGATGGAAAAGGGACGGGACTAAGCTGGCTGGACAACATAGATTGCTCTGGGTCAGAGACTACGCTTCAGAGCTGACCTCACTCTTGATGGGGTGTTGCTGACTCTGAATGCAAAACTCACAAATTTGATTCTGTTGTAGTATTTACTCTCTCATTTGTTCCCCATTCAGCATTGTGGTATACGTAACTTTCAATATATAATGCTATCAAACACCAAATGAGTAATTATACGAAATATACGTAAACTGTGCAAAATTATTTTTTTAAGAAGCATCGCTCAGCCCCATGTTTGAGTTACATTGTAGTACATAACTGCCGACTCGTTGACGGACGGTCAGCACCGAACACGCGAGACCAGCATATCCAGTGTGTCACCATATGTCGTATTTTGTTTTCCAAGACGTTTTTTCTGGTGAGCATCATGTTTGAATAAGATTGGGTGCTACAAAAACGGATGAATAACAAACAACACCAGCTTTGACGTGAGGCCTCTGAACCTGAACATCCAATACCATCCAGCAAGACTGGTCCCGTACCTCGTCCCCAGTACCAAAGTCCTAACGTCTTGGTAAAACCAAGTTGACGACATCCAGCTTTTGTACTAGGTATATTGCACCTATCATGACAAACTGTTCCCCATTGACCATTTCCCAAAAAACACGGCCTGCATTTCAATTTAAAATAGATATTTTTACTTTCTAAAGAAAAAAATAAGTCTAATACGGTGCCGTAAGCAAGCATATCATTTAGAATTAATTGTATTAAAGAAAACACATTTAGACGCAGATGAAGCTATTTTCTTTTGATTTTAATAGGAAACAAACATATTTATGAATTGTTTTAAAAAGCAGTACTGGGATCCTCTATAAAAAACGCAATTTTTAAGAAATATTCGCCATGCAGCCTCTATCTAAATCAAAAAGCCAATTGTAACATCTGCAAAACTCACAGCAATGATGCTGTTCTAGTGTTTACCCTTTTATCAAAGATCGTTCTAATTGGCAAGGGGAGTTATTTTACAAAATAAAACTTTTAAATATACAATCCGCATCGATGAAATACGTATTTTTCTTTATTACTTAAAAGTGATACCTTCACATGCAAAGATATCAAATGGCAAAAGATTTAAAATAGTCGGCTTATTTATACGGTTTTTATGATTTAGAAGAAGAAGGAGAGAAAAAAAAAAGAAAAAAAAACAGAGCGTGCTTCCTGTATTTTGAAGCCATTCAGCTTTTCAGATGTCCTCAATTTTTATTTAATTTTCGGAAACATATCCTATTTATTGGATTTAGTTATCTGACTTTTTTGAGATGATCTGAGATGGGATTCTGTGATAACTTCAAATGTGAAAATAAAACCATACGTATGAATTATTWGGAATGTTATTAAATAGTAAAAATCCACCAAAAATATTTTATTATTTTATCGATAATTATTGATTGTTACAAAATATTACATGCCCGCTTGAAGATACGGRTTTTACCTTCTCACTGCGGTCACTCATAACATTTATTTTCTCAACACTCGATGATAAAATCCGTATTTCCGCGCGGCCATGTAACATTCTCTATAAATGTGGCACGCTTTGTTTTCAAATCAAGTATCGCCAAGCGCCATGATTGTTAACTTCGCATCGAAATATTAATTACTGACTGATTGAGGGACAATGCTCTMTACTACTTTTATATTTTCAGGCGAATAGATTGTTAGATATTTAGATATTAGATATTTACATCACGTATCAAATCACTGAGCAAAACACCAGCATCATAGTTGTGRGTTTTGCAGGCAGAGTCAGCAACACCCCAGCCAGGATGAGAACAGCTCTGAAGTGAGGTCTCTGATCCTGTACAACCCATGTTATCTAGCCAGACAGGTCCCGTCCCTTTTCCACGGTGCCAAAGTCCTAAAGCTTTAGTAAAACCAAGTTGTCGACATGCCACCCTGGCTTCCTCCATGTTCCAGTAATCATGACACACTGTTCCCCATTGACCATTGCGGTAGAAGAATTGTGGTAAATTGTTGGTTTCATTAACGTAGTAAAAACGCTTTAAATGCTTGTTTTTTCAAGCCAAACCCTCCAGCATGTTTCGCCGGAATTATAATGACGTATTTGAAAAGGGATGTATACATAAATAGTGAATTTAGAACAATATGTCATTGGAAATGTTTCCTTAGTTTGTGTGTGTGTGTGGAAAATCCTCGCTAAAGTATTAAAGACTTGCGGATCGCCCACAATTTCTAGTAGAGAATGATGAGGTATAGGATAAAGGAATGTGTATCCGTAAAACAAAAGAAATGTGTATTTAATTGCAGCTATTTTGCTGCCATATTAATTTTCAGGTGATTAGATTATCATATGTTAAATATTTACATCACGTAACAAAACACTGACCATACAACACCAGCATCATAGTTGTGAGTTTTGCAGAGAGAGTCAGTAACACMCCAGCCAGGGTGAGAACAGCTCTGAAGTGAGGCCTCTGTACCTGTGCATCCCATGTCGTCCAGCCAGACTTTTCCCGTCCCCCTTCCMTTGTACCAAAGTCCTAGAGCTTTGGTAAAGCCAAGTTGTCGACWTGCCACCCTGACTTCCTCCATGTACCAGTCATCATGACACACTGTTCCCCATTGACCATTRTGGTAGAAGAATGCTATTAAACAATTGGTTTCATTAAAGAAGTAAACACAACGCTTGCTTATAGAATATATATATATATATACACACTCGATTGCAGAAACGTTGTAGTATATATCTATGCATTTATACAAATACCTAATGAGATGCATATTGCAATTTTACTTTTTTAACCCTCAAAACCAATTGATKTATAATCCGTAGGATGTAAAACACGAGAATAATATATTTTGACGTTCATTGAATGARACAAATAATAAATAAAGCGATTTTTCTGTTTTGCATATCATTWAATATACTGAATAAATTATGTATTTGTATAAATGTATACTACAACGTTTCTGCAATCGAGTATATATATATATATATATATACTTGGTTTCGCGATAAACCTTGAGATCAATTTTTCCCTTTAACACTTTATTTTCTTCGCACTTGTGTCGAACGTACAATTCACGATGAACTCTGAACACACACTACAGCAACTTCTTATATAGTCTTTTACAATCTTTCTAGAATGTTCTAACATTAAATCATAGAAGTTTCCAGAAATTACGATAAACAAGTCAAGCTTAATCAATAAATAGACATTATATAATCCTAACTTACTAGAACTTTCTATAACGACTAATCAAGAATGTCCTGGAAAATCTAGAATATTCTATAAACGTGCTTATAATCATTTCTTCTGTCCATCCTCCCCCTCCTCGATGGGCTGTAGGCTCATCGACTGTAGAACTCTGCGACCTTAGTCGTGGCATGTCAATCATCTATTTCGCACTCCAGCGGGCATAATCTTGATATAGGCCTTTCAAAGATTTTCTGTCCAATCCTGACTTTAGCAACTCTCACATGTCCATCTTTGCCGAGAATCGTCTCAGTTATTCTTCCCAACGGCCATTGTCCACGTGGTGTATCCGGAGAAATTACTAATACTGTGTTGCCAACTTTTAAGTCTTTGCCTTGTTTGAACCACTTTTTCCTTGCATTTAACTTCGGTAACCATTCTCGCATCCAGCGGTTCCAAAAATGTCGAACTAGTTCTTGAACGCGTCTCCATCTTTTTCGAAGATTAAAATCTGTCTCGTCTACGGATTCGGGAGCAAACTTTCCGCCGACCTGACCATGAAGGAAATGGTTCGGTGTTAATGGGACGTTATCTGCTGGATTGGCTGACTGATAGGTTAATGGTCGAGAGTTTATAAGTCCTTCAGCACCTGTAAAAACTGTCATCAACTCCTCGTCTGTTACATCAGCATTTCCTAATATTCAACATATTGCTCTCTTTGCTGCCTTTATCATCGTCTCGTGTACGCCCCCAAAGTGAGGAGCCAGAGGAGGGTTAAAATGCCATTTTACCCCTCTATTTGCAGTTGAACTTGCAATCTTGTTCTTGTCTAGTTTCTCTACCAGCTCTCGTAGTTCTCGATCGGCTCCCACGAAATTGGTTCCATTATCCGAAATCATTTCTTCTGGAAGCCCTCGTCGACTTGCCATTCGATAAAACGCATTGAGAAATGAATCAGTGTCGAGACCAAATGCAATCTCCAGATGTACCGCTCTTGAAGTTAAGCACGTGAACAGGCAAAGGTATCTTTTAGCTCTACGCTGTCCTCTTACTTGGATTGTTATAAATGGGCCTCCAAAATCAACTGCTGTGCGAGCGAAAGCACGAAGCGGCATCTTAAGCCTGATCTTTGGTAGAGGTGCCATGATTTGCTGAGCTGCCTTTGCTTTTCGTCTTCGGCATTCGTAACATTCTCCTTCGCACTCTCTAATTTCTTCTCGACCTTGCATTACCCAGAAACGCGACGAAAGCATTGCTAACGTTTGGTTTGTCCCTGCTGTGTGATTTCCTTGCTGATGAAACCACCTTACTATCAGGCTAGTTACCCACTCTTTTCTAGGCAATATTATGGGATACTTGACATCGTATGGTAAGTACTCGGCATTCTCTAATCGGCCATATGACCTCATCACACCGTCTTCGTCCAGTCTTGGCTTTAACGTAAGTAACTTGCTGGTGATGGGAAGTGGTTTTCCAGAGGATAATGCTGAATACTCTGCTTCAAATGCCCTTTTCTGTGCTGCTTTTATAATCCTGTTCTCAGCATCCTGGATTTCCTCGACAGTCAGCTCATCCCTTGTTCGTTTACTGCTTGGAAGTAAGCAGTTGTTCAGGAAGCGGTAAATCCATGTTTGGATTCTGGTTAGTCTCAACCAACTTGAAAAACGTTTTGGTTCTAAGCGCGGTTCGTCTTCTCCTTTGATAACCACCATCGTTCTGCCTCTTTTATCGCAGGTGTCTAGCTGGCACCTTTTTGTTTTCCTTACTTCTGTATCAAATGCACTGGAATGTGGGATCTTGTTCATTGGCCAGTCTGATGGTTTCTCTTTGAGGTAACTCGGTCCTTCCCACCATGAAATCTTTTCGGCAAGTTCTGGAACTGTTAATCCTCTGGTGACAAAATCCGCTGGATTGTCATCGGTTGGCACGTATCTCCATTGGTTAGGGTTACTTGATGATTGGATCTCTCCGATTCGGTTTGCTACAAATGACTTGAAGACTCTACTTGGTCGGTGTATCCACCATAGCACGTTCATACTGTCTGACCAGTACGTGGTTAAGCTTGGATCAATGTCTAATGCCTTGGCTATTGACATACTCAATCTCAATTTTAACACTGCCCCCATCAACTCAAGACGTCCTATACTCATGGCTGTAAGCGGTGCGACCTTTGATTTCGATGCCACCATTCGTACAGTAACGATCCCACTTTTGTTCTCACTTCTTGCGTACACCACTGCTCCATACGCCGCTGTTGAAGCGTCGGCAAACGAATGTAAACTTGTTGAAATCACCACACCAAAATTAGGTTGCAGGCATCGCGGAACTCGTACGCACTGTAGGGACTCCAACTCTTGGAACCATTGTCTTGCCTTTTTTGCTTGTTCCTCTTTCATTTGTTCATCCCAGTCTATCCCGGTGGTCCACATTTCCTGTAGAATGATTTTGGCGCGAACGATGTATGGTGCTAGAAAACCCAAGGGATCGAAGAGTGTTGCGATACTCTTGAGAAAGTTCCGCTTTGTAAACTTGAATTCCTTTCCTGGTGGGTGTGCCTTGTAGGTGAACATGTCTTCCTCAGCTACCCACAGTACCCCAAGCGTCTTTACCAATGGTAGATGGCCTTGGTCTAAGTCTACCTCGGAGGCTCTGTCATCGACCGGTATTTGCTCCAGCACCTTTGGGGAATTCGATAGCCATTTTCTCGCATGCATTCCAGCTCTTTCCCACAATTCTGATAACTGTCTGTACAGTTCTATTCCTGTGTCGTCATCTGAAGTAGAGTCCATGCTATCGTCCATGTAGGTTGACTTCAAATTCGTCTCTGCTGCCACTGGAAATTGTTCTTTATGCTTCAGCGCATGCTCTTGCGTGACAAACTGAGCTTGGAATGGTGACGAATTCACCCCAAAAACTACTCTATTGAACTCGTACACATCTGGTGCCCTAGTCTGATCCAACGATCTCCACAAGAATCGATRAAATGGTCTGTCTTCTGGTGCTAGGCTTATTCGTAAGTACATTTCTGCGATGTCGCACACTAATGCTACGGGGTTCTTGCGAAATCGTAGTAAAACACTGAAAAGTTCACGCTGCAACTTGGGTCCTTGGTGAATGACGTCATTCAGGGAAATCCCGCCGCACTTAGCGGACGCATCAAATRCGATTCTCGTCTTCGTCGTTTCTTTGTCTAGTCTTACGACAGCGAAGTGGGGCAAATACCATGATTCCCTTGGCCTTTTCTCCGTTTCTGGAACCTTTCTTATGTAACCCTTTTCATCGTACTGATTGATCACGTCTGAGTAACTCTTTCCTATCTCTGGATCCCTGCACAGCCGTTTCTCTGTATTCTGCAACCGCCGCAGCGCGGTCTCGTAGTTGTCTGGCATGAGCGGTTTCTCTCCCTTCCATGGTACTCCAATCTCGTATCGTCCATCTTCAAACTTTATTGACCTCTTAAGTGCTTCCAGTGCGATTTGATCTTCTGGCTTTAATATCTTGGTTTTCATCTGTAATCCGTCGTCTTCAATGTCCCAGAACTTTCGAATAGCGTTGCTCAACTCAATACTTGGTTCCTCACGCACGAAGTAAGTACGTATAAAGTTTGTCCGATAACCCTTCTCATGACATACGCTGGGATGTCCGATACATGTCCATCCTAACGGTGTTAATCTTGCCACTGGCTCGCCTGGTTTCCCTCTTACATCTTTGATTGAATAGTGTAGATCAGCATAATCGATACCGATCAGGATATCAACAATCGTGCGTGGCCACAGATAAGGGAAGTTTATATCTTTTAGGTGGCTCCAGTTCTTGGCACACCTGGCCCAGTTAACTGCTTTCATGTTGCCTGTGACTTTGTTCGCTGTAAACGCAGTAATCTTCATGTTTATTTTGCCATCTAAGCTCTCTATCCCACACTAGATCGGCATCGTCTCGAAAGTATCTTCCTGGCCATTAAGAACGTTGACTGTCACTTTACGACTCTCGCCCTGTAGTCCTAACTCAGCGGCGACATCACTCTTTACGTACGTCTTGGTACTGGCGTCATCCAGCAGTGCATTCACGACTAGTTTCCGCCCGCCATTCTTTAGTATCACGGGTACTGTTCTCAACGCGATGCATTCCTCTTTGACGTTTTCTTTGGCATGTACCGTGGTCGTGTGTGATCTCTTGGATTTCTGCTGCTCCCCCTCCGTGGCAGGTCCTCGCACGCCTTGCTTTGCATCTTGGCTGCTATTGGCTTTTTGGTCACCTGTACTCTTCTCCTCGTCCGACACCCCCTTCTTGTCCTCATGCAACAGCCTGTTATGCGTATCTTTACATCCATTCAAGCCACAGATTCTTGACCTAGTGCATGACTGACCGACGTGGTTGCCTCCTAGACATCTGTAACACAAACTGTGTTGCTTGGCTGTTTCCCCCCTCTGAGGTACTGCCATAGCTTTAAACTTGCCACATAACCAAGTTGGATGCCCTTCTCCGCAGACCTTGCATGCTCGATTTCTGTCTCTTTGTTGATCCCTGGAGCCCCTCTGTTGTCTTGGTTGGCCAAAATATGTCTGATCTTTCCGTTGTGTACTAGATGAGCTTCTTGATAGTCCACGTAACGTTTCGGCTGCTATTGTCTGGAACTCCGCCTCTTGTATTACCCACTCTCGTAAGGTTTCTACGCATTCCATTTTGCTTCTTTCATATACCCATCTGTGGTACTGTGCCAACATTTGCTCCGTCATTTTCTTCTGCAACTTTGCATAGAGTGATCCATTACCCAGTTCTTCGTATCGTCTGGCCTCCTTCAGGTTAACAACTGCGATGTCCAAAATGTCTGCAAATCTCTCGATATCTTTTGGGTGTCCTGGCCTTATTGGTTTGAAGTTCTCAAGTTATTCAAGATGCAGCGCGATCTGCCTCCTTCTCCCGCCGTATTTCCTCTCCAGCCTGCTCTTTGCAGCGTCGTAAGCGGACGCTGAATGACCGAGGTTTTCTATGGTCTTGAGTGCTTCTCCTGACAAATATTGTCTGAGTTGGAGTAGTTTATACTCTGGAGTAGCTGGTGCCTTGTCGATGCATGCCTCGAATGCTGCTTTCCAATTCTCGTAGTTGGCTTTGTCTCCGTTGAACAGAGGGATTGACACTCTCTTCAGCTGCTTCCAAAGGTCTTGGCCAATCTCCATCGCTGGCGACGTTTTGCCCTTCACGCTCTGCGTCTCTTCTTGGCCTTTGGTCTTTAACCCGCTATAGTTCTCCGTCTTGATCCTTGGTTTTTGTTCGCTTTGCTCGACATCGGCGCATTCTGGCCCGTCGACATAGTCCTCTTCTAGCCCAAGCTCCTTGTCGATCTCTTTTTCTGCTTTGATTTGTATTCTTCTGACTTCCTCTTTAACATCGATTAGTTGGTTTCTTCTTTGTAGTGATCGAGCTTCAAGTTCTTTCATTTTCTCAGCGTATTCTTCTTCTATTTTCCTCTTTTCTGTCTGAATGGCTTCTTCTCCTTTCAATATGTTTACTTCCATTTGCTCCGCCTTCTTCTTTGCTTTCATCATTTCCTCTTGAGCTTGTCTAACCTTCTGCGAAGTATCCGACGCGATACTTGATAATTCGTCTTTCCTGGAGTCTAGGTACTCTTGTGTCCTATTCTGAGCGTCCGTGAACTCTTCCTCGATTCTCTCTATTTCTTGACTTAACTTGCTTATATTTACG